GGGGGTGGGGGTGGTCATGGCAGGTGAAGGGGCTATGACTTTTCCTCTTTAAGACATCCTTACCTGCACTCTCTTAAGGTAGTTGAAAGTATTCTCCTGAAATGAGTTAATATTGATGGTGGCCAGCACTGTAGAAAGAAGGGAGAGATGCTGCATGAGGCCCTGGGGCAAGTGCTGCCAGGGGAGGGACAGAGGCCCATGCCTTGCACACAGAAGGAAGTGTGCTGAGTAGTGAGGTAATGAGATACTACTTTTATCCCATGTTGCAACGTGCAAAGGGCTGTCACTGGGCATTTGCAAGGACAATGTTACAGAAGAAGGGCAGTTAAACTTAACCATATTTTGTGCAGAGAAATGGAACAGGCCAAAGTCACACAAATTGATTAGACCTAGGAATTAGACCTGGGAGTAAGGGGAGATAGGAAAAGGGGGGAAATGGGGACAGAAAGAGATGAGACTTTGCCTGGGGTGATGGGCACACAATGCAGCGTGCAGGTGATGTTTTGTTGAGTTGTATACATGAAACCTGTATGGTTTTGCAAACCAACGTCACCCCAATACATTTAAGTAAAAAATAAACAAACAAGTAAATAAAGGTGGAAAGGTGGGCTGCGGACAGAAGGGCTCCCTGGCATCTGTTGTTGAAGGAAAGTAGGATCAAGGGACATGATAGCGTTGCTATGGGAACTCTTCGCTTTGATCTTGGGCTCTCATAGCGGTACCACCTCGCCAGGGTCCACCTCAATGTGCATGGCAAAGAGAGGCCTCAGAGCTATTCTTGGTTCTTTCTGACACTTGTTCAGAACTCAAACCAGCGGGTGAAGAGCTCCGTGCTCCCTGAAAACACGCCTAAGTGCCTACCTCCTTCTATGCTGCCTTGGAGCACTTCTTTCTCCGCGTCAGAGGTCAAGAGCAGCTCCACGACCCCTCTGTCCAGCAGGGCCTGTTGAGAAAACTGGACAGAGTGAACCCCCGCTCCTTTCCCCCGTGGGAAGAAGGAAATTAGCCAATAAATACCCTGGGCCAAGAGGGACAGCGTGTGAGCCGGAGAAGAAGGTCTGGGTTGAGAGTCCGACCATCCACAGCTCGCTCTCTCTCTCTTTCTCTGGCTGGTGTTTCTCCCAGGGACACAAAAGCCACCGAGTCTGGGCTCTGACCCCATCACAGCCTCAAGGGGAAGTGCAGAGGGAGGACCTGACCTTGAGAGAAAGAAGGCTCTGGAAGCTGGGCTTGAAGGGGAGAGGCGGGTGCTATGGGGCCTGGGGAAGATCAGAGAGAAGCTTCACAGACGTGGGTCCTACCTGGACACTCTGAGGAAACAACGAAGCCCACCATGGCTTTGGGGACGCGGGACCTCATTAAAAACTCATATTTGCTAAGGGCCTCAGAAGCAGGAGGGTGACCAGAGGGCCGGAGGACCCTATGTGTCCCTTGCATGGGCACCGAGCCACAGCTGGGACTGGGAGCAGAGCTGAGTAGCAAATTTTTGTAATCAAGGAAAATAATACTCGCTGAATGAGATTGATTTGAGGGGTCTGATGTGACACCCCTGCGAAACGTTAGGGAGGGGATGTCTCACAGCCCTCGAAGCTGCAGAAGCCTGTGGAGCCCAGCCCTGCCTCCTCCCTCTCTCCTCACCTGATCGCTCTGCCCTGCCCAGCTGGCAACTGCCCGCCTGCCAGGCCACGCCACCCTGAGGTTCCCATGGGGACAGAGCTCACCCTGCCTCAGGCTTAGCAACCCGGGGGAGGGATCCCATTGACAAGAGAGCCAATCAGGCTCCTGAATGTGGGACGTCAGGGACAGGGAGTAGCTGACCCTCCCACAAGGACATGGGCAGGATGGCAGTTATGCCCTGGCCTGAGGCATCCCCCCAGGAAGAGCGACTATTGGTGCTACAGGTCAGAGAGCGGCCAGGTGACAGACATTATCATCATCAAGTTCACGAAGCATTATTTCCTTAACTGCTCGCCAACCCCCAGCTCTCGTGAAACTTGTGGGTCGTGGAGATCTTTTAACATCATATTTTATCTCAGAATAAAGTCATTCAAGTGCATCTTAATCACCTTGACCGTGCTGTAGAGTCAGAGAAGCGGAACTCGGTCCCTGTATCCGCATAACCCACAGAGCCCACCAGAGCCCGCAGCAGACCCAGAGGCAGACGAGGAAGGAAGCATGAACACACGGGGACCAACCAGGGTTTCTCACCTTGTGAAGATGCGGCATGTACGCTCTATCCTCGGCAAACGCACCGTACTCGTTCTCCACCTGCACGGCGATGACGGGGCCTCCCTGGCGGTACTGAGGGGGCAGAGAAAGGGGAAGTGGGGTCCCGGGGGGCTGGGAACCCTGAGCCAGCTGGTGCGGGCACTTTGCTCCTAGCTGTTTCCTGACCTGGAGGCACGCTCTCTCCTCTCCCGTCTGATGGGCAGTTACCTGCAGGCCCTTCGGCGGCACAAGGAGTCCCAGTGCCCTAGTCTTCCTAACCACACTGTGTTTCCGTTCCTTCTCATGCTAATGAGCGACTTCAATAGGAGAGCTCATACCCACAAACTCACCTGCTAACACACCCACCCCATCCACTCGCCCTTCCTCTCTAAAAATCAATAAAAATATATATGTATCTAAAAGAATGGCAGGTTTTAAATATATCTTCAAGTAACAAAAGGAAAATGTCCAGTGAGAATTGTAAATTTTTGTATAAAAATGTATACAGTGGATAGAGCGTCGGCCTGCAGACTGAAGGGTCCCGGGTTTGATTCCAGTCAAGGGCACATGCCAGGGTTGGGGGCTCCATCTCCAGTAGGGGGTGTGCAGGAGGCAGTCAATCAATGATTCTCTCTCATCATTGATGTTTCTATCTCCCCCCCCTTCCTCTCTGAAATCAATAAAATATATATTTTTTTAAAATATATTTTATTGATTTTTTACAGAGAGGAAGGGAGAGAGATAGAGAGTCCGAAACATCGATGAGAGAGAAACATCGATCAGCTGCCTCCTGCACATCCCCCACTGGGGATGTGCCTGCAACCTAGGTACATGCCCTTGACCGGAATCGAACCTGGGACCTTTCAGTCCGCAGGCCGATGCTCTATCCACTGAGCCAAACCGGTTTTGGCAAAATATATATATTTTTAAAAAGAATACATATGCAAGTGTAAGTAAGTGTATGCATAGATAATCTGCCTCCATGTGTGTAGGAAATCTATGGAAAGACACACAAAACTCTGGTGAAATTGGTTGCCTGTCTCCGGAAAAGGTACCAATGGCTTTGGGAAAGGTGACGAGGGGAGACTTGTATTTACCATAATCTCCTTTGTCCTCTTCAAGCCTTTTTGCCATGTGTGTGTAGTGACTGTTGAAAACAGCCAAGATCACTCAGGAGTAGAAATAAGCGGTAGAAAGGGCAGTGAGCCTAGAGATCATCAAGTACATTCAAAGCCACCACCATACACCCACGCTCTCTGCTCTCTGTGGATCCTGGCCGGGGTGATGCGTGTGCTCCCAGAAGCCCTGGGGCGAAGGCTGAACCTAAGGTGAGGGTCTAGAGTTCAAGATCAAAGGCAAGGGTGTCAGCTTCAGCTCTCAGAGCTGGGGCCCGGCCTGCTCTATGGATAGGTAGAACCAGCTGTTTCCCTGAAGCGAATGTCAGAAGGAAGGAAATGTAAGAAGGCGGTTTTACCTGGAGAGGAACCACTCTGGCCATAAGATGATCAAAATATCGATCCACCGCTTGGACAAAGCCCTTGTCGGTTGTCCTCAGTCTCAGCTCAGGGTCCTGCAGTAACCAGCTGGGGGCGAAAGGAGACAAACTCAGTGCTTGAGACGGGGAGGTAGGAGATGGGAGGGGGCTAGCCGGGTCCTGCAGGTCTGCCATCTCCTTCCAGAGCTCCCTCCAGCCAGCTTTAAGTCTTCTGATCTCCTGCAGCCCTCAAGGGACCTGGAAGATGCTCTGTGGACCATCCTACTGGGCTGTCCGACCGACAAGTGTCGGGGTGACAGTTCCCAGCTTAGGAGGGGTGGCAGCTCCGTCACGGCCCGCACACCCACATCCTAGTGAGGGGCTCTTTAACTTTTCATTGACTGCGCGCCTCCATTCCTTTTCAGTTCATTCAAAACCTTTGTCTGGCCCTAGCTCATTCGGCTCAGTGGTTAGGGTGTTGGCCCGTGGACTGAAGGGTCAAGGGTTTCATTCCGGTCATGGGCGCATATCTCAGTTGCAGGCTTGATCCCCGGCCCGGCTCAGGGTATGTGCAGGAGGCAACCAATCCATGTGTCTCTCTCACATCCATGCTTCTCTCTCTCTGTCTCTACCCCTCCCTTCCACTCTCTCTAAAAATCAATGGAAAAAATATCCTCAGGTGAGGATTAACCAAAAAAAAAAAAAAAAATCACAGCTTTTTCTTGAGCCCTGGCCGGTGGCTCAGTTGGTTGGAGCATCACCCTGCACACCAAAAGGTTGTGGGTTTGATCCCCGGTTGAAGCGCTTACAGTCAGGGCCCTGGGGCACATATGAGGGCACATATGAAGGCACGTATGATGTTTCTTTCACATCGATGTTTCTTTCTCTCTCTCTCCCTTCCTCTCTCTTTCTCTGTCTCTTTCTCCCCCTTCCTCTCTCTTTCTCTGTCTCTTTCTAAAAATCCATAAAAACATATCTTCAGGTAAGGATTAAAAAAACACCTTTTCCTGGAGCCCAGTGTATGTACCTTAGGCACAGGGTTCCATCTCTTCTGAGACCTGAGCCGCCAAGCGCCGAGGACGCCTCCCCAGTACCCAGGTCACCTGTGCGGGGCGGGGACTGCAGCTGAGCGGCCCAGGGCATCCCTGCTTTGCTAAAATATCCCTTCCTTCACGGCCAGGCCTCTGCTGCTCCTGAGGCGGATGGGAGAACACGCTCATCCCGGAGGAGACAGAGCCTTCACTGAGCCCCGGGAGCCGAGCCGTGGGCTGCACACACCTGGCAGCTGTGGAGTGAACAGGAGCGAGCGCCTGGGTGCTCAGCCTGCACTCAGCTATCTGCACTAAAGGCCGGCAGCAGAGGAGAGAAGGCAAAGGAAAATGAGGGGGAGTAGAGGGGAGCTGAGCTCAGTGGAGAACATGGCCTTCCATTAACAAAATAAGGGAAAAGCCAGGGGGTAGGGGGTCCTCAGAGCAAGTCCAGAGGTGGTCAGAACCTCCTTCTGCTCTGGAAAGCTCCCCACCCCGGACAGAGACCGGAGACGGAACAGGAAGAAAGAGATGTGACCACCTGATGCTGCCTGTCCTGCCCAGGCGCCCACAGCACCAGGACCAGCTCCCAGGCCCCGCATCTGTGACCAGGACAAGGATTACAGCGGCGCCCATAACTCACAGGGCCACCACAGTCCTTCCCCGAGAACACGGGCTCCCGGCTGTCAGATTCCAGCTCTACTTTTAGTAAAACAAACCATCACAGCCCTCCCCCCACAGCCCGCTCACCTGGGCAGGCCGCCGAGGTCGATCTCGCTGCAGATGTAGGGGCCTGGACGCAGGATCACCCACAGCCCGACCTCCGCGGCCATCCGGACAAAGGCCCTGGGAAGGTCAAAGGCGGCCACTCTGAGGGCATCCGAGCCGGGGGGTGGGGACGAGCCAGCACACGCCACAGGCGGCAGAGCTGCCCGGATCCTCTGCTGGCCCGCCCTCCTCTCAACCAGAGACAGGCAGAGTGAAGGGAAGGCCGAGCCCCCACACCTGCAGCTGGCTTCTCACCAGCTCCCAGCCCAGGACCATCTGCACAGCCCACCGGGTCATGGGGGGCGGGGGGATGTCAGACAGGGGACGGGGTCCTCACATGAACCTGACCCCGACCACCTTGCTGCCTCCAGGGGCAGCCCCCTCCCAGCACGGGTGGCGGGACCCCACTGCAGAGCAGGGCTGACAGGGGACCAGGCTCCTCTGGGCTGCAGCGAGGAGGGTGGGCTCAGGGGAGGCCTGGGCACCTGGCCCCGGTGCAGAGCTGGCACAGGGCCCTGGTAAC